TCTACTTACCACTTGACAAAACCATTATGTTGTTACAAGGCTTTATACTGAAAAACTTGATAAATAGTAAAGCATAAATAAAATCTCATTTGAAAAGCAGGAGAATAGTTCCTGTCTGTCTTATAGCCAGATTTAGCAGATGCAGGTTTGAATGTAAAACAATTGTGAAAACAGCCAGTGTCAAACTAGTGCAAAATTAAACTTGTGGGGTGTTCTGTTTTCAGTGTCTGTTATTGTTGAAGTACTCCATTTCAAAAGCATGCATTCCTTCCTACAGAAAAAAAATCACATTCCTTAGTTGAAATTAATTAGCATTCAGAAACCAGATAGCATGTTTTTGGGTATTCATGAGATCTCTGTTTGAAAAAATGTTTTTAACTTGTAGAAATGTGTTGCAACACACAGATGGGAAGAAAAAGAAAAAAAAAAATCTCTTTAGCAAGCACTGTGTGTAAAAGGAATATTACATTTTGCACGCTCCTGATTACCCTGTGTAAACAGTTTTTGACATCTGTCTTTATAGTTTTCGAGGAGAGGAAGACTTTGTTAAAAGAACCATTTTTATACAGCAGTCACCATTTCAGTCTTGCTTTACCTGTATTATGAAAGCAGATGGTCTGCATGTCTTTTGAATATTTATAACTATCAAAAACAATCTCTTGCTATTCACCCTTAGGCTTATGAGATGTCAGGACTGTTCTGGTTGAAAAAAAATCATCTTGGGTGTTTACAGAAAGAGGATTACATTAAGCTGAAATGACTATACATTTTCCAGTTTAATATTTGTCCATCAGCTGTTTAATCGTATTTAGATAATTGTGTAAATAAGTTGTTGCAGCCCTTGCCCCTTCCACTGAGCAGGCTTGAAGCTTTAAACACTGATGAATGAGTTGCAAAAAAGCTTGGATTTTTTTTTTTTCCTAGTTAAACAACCTGGAAGGCCTAAATAAGTTTTGGTTACAATGTTCCTTTCGAGGGAAATGTTTCATTTGCAAAGGAATCCCCAATATCTAATTCAGCCGAGTTGTTTTAGGAAGCTGCTGTGTCTGTTACTCTCTGCTAAGTCTGTTAGCATGTATTTGTTCTGTGTAAATACTGCAGCCCAACTACCCCTTCATGAGGCATGAAAACAACCTCATTCTGCCCATATAAAAATAATTTTAAGGTTATTTAGGGGAAGTTTTGGGACTGTGGGGGTTAAAAGCTTTTTTGACTGGAAGCTGAGCAATCACTGATAACAGATTTTGCTGTGGTTGGTTGATTTGGCAGAAAAGCATGAGCAGTTTTGGTTTAGATGATTGAATTAACCTGATTAACATTGTTTTTGTTGTTTTGCAAAAAGGACAACAGTATACTTTTAGTGATGATCGAACAATACTTCACCTGGTTGGAGAGCAGCGTTAGAGGCAATGACTCAGAAATGCCTCCCTTGTAGCACCTGCAGCGGTGGCTGCAGCAACCAGCCGGCACGAAAGGCTCGGGTCCTTCCCGTGTCTTGCAGGACGCACCTTGCAGTAGATTCTGGCACAATTCGAAAGGTGTCTGATGCTACCGTTTTACTGGGTTTTATTGGATGGGCATATGAAAAGATTTCTGGTTGAGATTTAAGATATTTCCCCAGGGAGTTCCCCAACTTCTTTGAGAAATGATGGTGTCTGGTTTTCAAATCTCCGGTATTTAATCCTCCTGAGAGAATGGGATTTGGTTCAAACTACACTGGGTGAACCTCAGCTGAACTTCAGAACGAATTCTACCCCTACCTCCACACAGTTGTTGGATGCCTAATTATAATTAACTTATTTGGCTAAAAAAAGAGCACTTGGGCTGCAGCAGATGGTATCATTCCAGAATAGTGGGATTTCTGTGAAGGTGGCACCATTTCAGATGATATCTCCTGATTCTCCGAACAGGGCTGCAAGTAATGTGGTTGGGGGCGGGGAGGGACGGAGAGAGGGGAAAGAGGGAAATTTGAGATCTTGAAGTCTCACAACTTACTTTCAAGGATAAACTTCTAGGAGATACATTAAGACTGTGAATCTGTGACCAGGTTTTGTGTTCTATCAATTTTCTTTGTGACGTGTGAAAAGGAAATCAGATTGTGAGTGATGAATGTGATGCATCTGAATATTTGTATGATATATTTATATTCGTCATCCTTGAACATGGAAAGCATCTGCCTCTGTGCCTCACAGATAAGGAATGCCTATGTACAGTAGTACCTGAATATGATGTGTTTCAAATACAATCATTTTCATTTGATTATTGATAAGTACAAGCCAAGACATGGGGAGCTCCTCACGTGTAATGACCCAGGAAATAAGAAAAACTTCAATATGCCTCCAGTCTGGATTGTGGATCTCTGAAGACCACTAACTCATAGGGTTAATCTTCAGTTTTAGGCCCTAAGCATAGAGGGCATTTGTATATGTAGATTGCCATTAAAACATACAGGAATTCTACAGCAATAGGAATTATATAGGAATTTTTATAGCAAAGTGAATCTCTCTGCACTGACGTGACTGCAGGTTTGATGACAACATAATAAATAAAGCATAGAAACAATGAAATTCAATGTTGTCAAGTTATTTTCTGAGTTAACAAGGTAGTAATATTTTATCTGGCTTGTAAAATTTTGCCTTCAGTGAATTAGTAAATAAATCATTGATTCCTCCTGATGAGGATTCTTAGCGTAGGTAATATCACTTGAATGTTTGCATGAAGTGTTCTCAAAGAAAAAGCAGGATAATTTTCGTTTTAAAATGTGTTGATAATGTCTGTGGTGGTTTTTTTTTTATCTACTTTGAAGAGCTGGAGTAAAATCCCAATATTAGCCATCAGAGCCTGAAATTCACGTTGTGTCAAAGAAGCTAAAATTCCTAGCAGTGTTATTTAAACAGACCAGTCCCCTATTTGCTTGTAAAATAAAGTAACTGCATTAAATTTATTCCTGAAGAAGCAGGGGATGTCACAGACTGCCATGTCATTGGCATATCTTCTTTGTAAAATGATGTAGAAAGGAGGACTAGGGGGAAATCCTACACAAATATCTTCATCAACAATAGGCAATTTACTAAAATTATTATTAACATACATGGTTTTATACTTACTAAAGTTATTTGGGCAGAAGAAGACATCTGAAAGGGGCAAAGTAAAATGAGAGAAAACCACCTTGAAGTCTAAATAACATCCACAAAATATGCACATGCTAATATGGGATGGTGGCCTATTACATGTGCAATTTCCCATTTTGCACATGCAGATCTGCAGGTTTTGCATGTACAGTAACTGTGCATTCATATAATTTACCAGTTCAGATTCAAAGGACTTTTAAAATCATGCCTTATGTATCATATCCCCATGTTTAAAATGGTTTAATCTGTAAAAGAGCTTAAACAATAATTTTCTAAGTATTAGACATTAATGATACTGCTATTATATTGGAAATTGAAATTGGGTTCAGCTGAGCTTGGTTCAGGTCATTCAGGCTAAAGTTGCAGTAGTCTATTAAGATTTCATTCTCCTTTTATAACACTGACAAAAGGCTTCTAGCTAATTTCAGAAATGCCAGATTAATATCAAGGAATGGTAAGAATTTTGGTGATTCAGAGAAACATTAAAATAGCTGCCTGGTGAGTAGAGAGTATCCACATTTGGCATACATAATACTGCCTCACTCTAGCAGTTCTGAGCCTCCACAAATAGCATGTTACTGAGTAATACGTTAGAAAATGGTTATAATAAACTTCACTAAGATCAATAATCAAGGTACTTTTACTCAGAAGCTGAACTAGCCTTATAAAAGAAGACTTATATTTACTGCATTTTTACTCCAAACTCTTTCTTCTAGTGGTTATTGCAGTTTGTGTAACAAAGGGTTGATGCTGTACATCGATTTTACGATGGCACAGATATAGCTAAATGTTACATGCTGAATAGCAAAGAAACACAGTAATCAGGGCTTTGTCTTCTTGACTGTCATTGTTTTCTCAATATGCTGGACAATTCCTGTAGTTAAGCTAAAAGTAACTACTTTCCACATAGAAATCTAAAGGGTGGCGAAGTTCAGTCTATTGAAATAACATTTGCTAATTTTGTTGTTCATACATCATATACTTAGTATAATTTTCAAGTTGGAGCATTATCTCATTTTGCAAGGCTTAGTCTTAATTGATTTTATAAAAGAATGTACTGGAACTGAAAGTTTTATGCATTGTAAATTCCACTATTTTAAAATTGGTCAAAACTGAGCAGAAGGTAAATTTCTCACTGTAGCTATCTGATATCTCGAGAACCTTTGAGAAAAAATTGTCTCTATCATCCTTTGGTCTATTTTACAGCTAATATTCAGTTACAGAATTAGACATGACAATAAGAGCTTTTCATAAGCCTGTTTCTGTGAATCACTTAAAATACCCTGTTTAGAAAAAGCAAGTCTGGGTTTGTTTTGGGTTATTGCATACATATTTTATTCTACTATAAACCCCCTTATTTTATCCTACTAATAGGTCATTTAGATAAATTTTCATCCTATGATTTTCTGGGGTCTGCCCTGTGATAAGTGCCACAAAGGGAATGGGCATGGGTAACTTGGGGCATTGCTTGCATTTTTGGAGTCAGTGTAGGATTTGTATGCTTGTAAACTTGTGTGGGTATGTGAAGGGTCAATCAAATTTAAAAGCAGAAATAGTACGAACAAAATGCACTTTCAAGATTAGCATCTTCTGTCCAGAGCCCATCCTATTGCCTGATGTTTCTTGGTCGATAACTTTGTTCTTCCCTTAGTACATCTGCTTTTTTTGCTCCCATTTACAATATACCTTCATTTGTTTTTATGCTCAATTAATGAGTTTTTTAAAAGGCTTTGGATGATAGGATTAAAAATGCAATATGGTTCTCAAACTTTAAAAATATAATGGTTTCAACAACTGAAATAAATTGTGCTTTGACTTGTACTGCTCTGTATTACAGATTTTTTTTTTTCTTCTCCCCTTTTCACACAGAGTATGATTTCTTCCATTGTGAACAGCACTTACTATGCAAATGTCTCAGCAGCAAAATGTCAGGAATTTGGAAGGTGGTATAAACATTTCAAGAAGGCAAAAGATATGATGGGTAAGCAAAAAAAAAAAAAAAATTGCCGTGATGGTGGATACATACCATTATGTGTCACGTTGAGGTCTGTCACAGTCATACAAGAAGCCAGGTCCCTTCATGATAAGTTTAGGATGCTTTTGATGAGTAGATGTAGAAAGTACATATATAGTGAAAGAATTCATTTAAATAAATATTTGCTACTGAAACAGCCAAACTGACTTGGGTTGCCAGAGATGTAAAGCTGTCATTCTGTAAATCTAGAGATCTTCTACCGCCCAGAATAATTGTTTAAAAAACCTGTTCTTTGAACTGTGACGGACTGATTTTTTTAATGTATGTCTTTTTTTCTTGCTCTGGCTAAGGTATATTTAAAGAAACAGACTTCTATAACTATCACTGCCTTCCAACAAGAATGCTATAATTTTATAAATTCATATCTTTCTCTAACTTTGGGACCCTGATTTCAATTCATTTTAACAAATAGTTGTGACAATTGTTTGCTTGTTGTAGCAAGCACAAGTAAATTACTGGAGAAAAAAAATCCATCAGCGGGACCTATTAATTCTGTAATACCTTTTATCTTTCTGTATTGTCCCTTTTTAAAACTATTTCTTAAACCTGTTAACATAATTTTGAACAGTTTATGTCAGAAAATTTCTATGTACTTTTCAATAGAATGAAGGACTGGGACCTCAGTTTGGATTGAATTTTGAGCTTGACTTAGCTTTCAGTATTTGAAGCAAAATCATTCATCTACCAAAACGGGTTCCTTGCCTTTTATAGCTTAAGGCTGTAATGAAGACAATGCATCACTTTTGTGATAATTGCTTGAATTACTATTCCAAGTGAATGGCCCACTTGGGTTGATCTCTACTTTCCGCTAGTGAAAAAAGGCAGCTTCTTTCCTTTATCTACTTTGTACCTTCTGTGCAACACTGAACGCTTCTTCTGAGACCACCGAAGTTGGTGGTAAGACTTCACTTGGTTTTGGGTGGTCCATGTGCGAGGCAGCAGAGTGCCTGCATGGGGGGGGGTGACCTTTCCGCAGCATCCTCTCCCACTTCCATTGCTGCAGCGCTCCTGCATGGGGCAACCCCTGCCAAATTTGCCTTACGTGATCTTCCGAGACAGGTTCACCATCCGTTCATTTGGGAACAGTGAAACCAGTGCATAGGAAACGTGCGTGCGTGTGTGTGTGTTTATTCCTATGTCACCTAATGCTGGGGGAGAGACCGTGCCGCCCCCAAAGCCACACGGGCGAGGAGCAGCGGGTGCTCCGCTGGGGGACTGATCCAGGCTACGGGCACCAGACCTCGCTGCAGAACAACCCGCTCGCTTTTTTCTTTTTTAAATTTCTGCTCATGATAGGACAGATGGGGAAGGCAGGACTGTGGGTGGGAATCCAGGTGCTGATTTCTTCTTCCAGCTCTTATCCCTGTGGAGGAAGGGGTGGTCTTGCGCTGAATGACTGTTCAGTGCAAGTGGTCTTGCGCTGAATGACTGTTTCATAGTAATTACGACTGTGAAGATTGTAATTACTATGAAAAGCTCAGACACCGCCTTTTTTTTTTAAAATATGATTTACTAGAATAAGAAAAAAATTGCTACAATACTTTTGTGAAGATACTGGAGTTTGGGTTTTTAAATAAAGCATATTTTCTTAAAACTATTTCCAGACCAGCATTGCTAACGCTCTGGAACTGAGATTGTTTAAAATGAAAAAGTGACATACATTGATAAAAAGGATACTCCTTTACATCAGCCTGGAGTTATTTTATATTGTCTTATCATGCACAAGAGGGGAGCTGGAAGAACTCTTGTAGTTTAAAAAACTGTGTTAATTAAAAAGGAGGGTGTGTCAAGGCAGATGAGTTAATATAAGAAAAAAAATCAACCATGTTGCAAGTCACTGAAAAAAACCATGCATACATGGTTGCAAGATAAAGCAGCCCATCTGTGTAATTTACATAAATTATACTAGTTCCTAGCAGTCCCATACAATTGATGCAGCATCTAGAAATTAGCAGAGCATAGGGAGGTCCACCCCCCACCCTGCTTGTTACAGATTTCCAGTGGCTGGGAACTGCAGATGTCGTGGCGGGGACACCATGGGAGGAACAAAACCAGTCACGAGGGGCTTCTCTCTCTGGTCGGGGTGTGCTTTCCTGTAACAGCCCTCCTTGCCCTTTGCGCAGATGCGCTTGCCATTTCACCCGCACCTTCTGCGGCGCACGGAGTGGTTTCCCGTCTCTCGTCTTCGCCCCCTCTCTAGTTGCTTGCTGCCTTGTCTGAAGTCCCCTGCATCCATCGCTGCGGGGATGTGCTCTGCAGCCGCACGCTCGCGGTTCGGTTGCGTTGCGCCTTTGCAAAACTCTCAGGAAGTTATTCCTTTGCCATACGTGGTTTCCAGCACATGGTTTTGCCTCTGGTGTTCTGCTGGTTCCTCCAAGGGCCCAGTGATGATGACGGGCAGTTTGTTGGAATTTTTTTTTTTTTTTAAAAATATTCACTACACCATCATTTGTAGGTAAATTTTGAAGGCAAATAGCCGCAATGGTGGTGTTATGGGCCTGCTGATCTAGGCTGGAGCGTACAGTAAGTTTGAACCTGAATGCGCCATTTTACCTTTATTTTTATTAGCACGTCTTGCGAGGAGCGTAAAGTTTGTGATTTTCAGTCTTATGTTGGCTTTTTCAATGTTTCTTTTCCACCGTAGTTGAGATGGATAGCCTTTCTGAACTATCCCAGCAAGGTGCCAACCATGTCAACTTCGGTCAGCAGCCGGTCCCAGGGAACACAGCCGAACAGCCTCCATCCCCTGTTCAGCTTTCTCATGGTAGTCAACCATCAGTTCGGACCCCGCTTCCAAACCTGCACCCTGGACTTGTATCTACTCCCATTAGCCCTCAGCTGGTAAATCAGCAGCTGGTAATGGCCCAGTTGCTGAACCAGCAGTATGCAGTGAACAGACTTCTAGCCCAGCAGTCCTTAAACCAACAGTACTTGAACCACCCTCCTCCTGTCAGTAGATCCATGAACAAGCCGTTGGAGCAGCAGGTCTCAACAAACACAGAGGTGTCTTCCGAAATCTACCAGTGGGTCCGTGACGAACTGAAACGAGCAGGAATCTCACAGGCAGTATTTGCACGTGTGGCTTTTAACCGAACTCAGGTCAGTTGTCTGTTTTCTTTTTTTTTTTTTTTTTTTAAATCTAAGAGTCCCTTCTTTCTCTCTCTATTGAGTAATTATCACCTTTTAAGTCTTTCTCCTCATTTCTGCCTTGTCACTTAGCTCCTGTGAAGGAACGATGCTTCCTTGCAGGACCAGTGTCCATATTGATACAGTAAAGAAATCTTCACTGATTGGTTTGTGGCAATACCTGCTGTTCTTACAGACATCTTGGTTCCTCTCCAGTTGTGATGGTTTATTAATATCTTAAACTTAATCTTCCCTGTAAAGGACATGAACAGCTCTATGCAGAACCATTCACAAAGTCACCCAACAGATTGCCTTTTGTGTTGCAAAGGTATACCCGTACTGACCGCATGCATGCACTGAACAACCTGTCCTCTTTCACAGGTGTACCTGAGATGGTCTTTTATTCTTGTTTGCATTTATTTTTATTATTTTCTAGTGAAAGTCTTAATAACATCTTATCAGGCTTCTGAAAAGATTAAAAAATAAAAGCTTTATTTTTAGATCATCTACTCTTTTCATGTATTTTTGTAGTGTGTTGCAAAAACAGTAGTTGCTGAGATTGCTGATGTCCACGTCAGAACATATACTTCAGCTCTTCAATGCAGAAAAAACTAGCCCTAGCAAAGCTGATAAGTAACACTAAAATGTGTTATTTTTTACACCTGTTTTAGAAGCTAACCCTGTTATAATTTATTCTGCTCTATGAATTTAACTTAATGCCATGTTGCATGGAATTTAATCAAGCAGAAATTATGGAAGAAATGTCAGTATATCCAATGCAAATAATAAGATCTCAAAATTTTAGAAGTCTGTTTTAACAGAAAATAAAATAGGAATTTTTTTAAAAGGAAATATTTTAAAAAGATGTAGGTAAATTTGCTTTGATACCACATTTTTAAACTTAAGGAACAAGTATTTGTCCATTGTAGAATATAGTAAAAAAATCATAATTTGGTCTTCTCTTGAAATGTATGATGTTTCTCCGTGCATAGCTTAGAGAATAAAAATTCTGTTTCAAATGCACTGGTACCAGGTTTGAATCAGCACATCATTTGTAATTGTTCTGAATTATTATTGCCTTAAAAACTTTTATATCCTCCTTTAGCTAAGAGAAAGTAGACTCACGGTGTGAATTCTTTGTAGAGCTCCGTGTGTGTGTCTTTCCTCTTAACAGCAGAGGAGGTTTTCAAGATCTGGGTCTTTCATACCAAATTTCATGGGATACATGGACTCATGCAAGGATTACTTATGTAAGTTAGGTTCAGGCAATGTCAGCTGTTATATTTACAAATAAGTGACATAGGTTTCATTTAATATAATGTTTAATATTTTAACTATTGATTCTATAAAGTATTGAAATAATAATGGCAGCTTCAAGTTACCATGGTTTGCAGCTGCCATCACACCTGGGCAAAAAGCCAAGCAAATAAATCAGAAAATAAATAGTTTATTAGATATTTACTTCTTTCTCAGACTTGCCTAAAAGCAGCTTGTTTTCTCTCAGCTCCCTCCCCCATCTAAAGTAATTTGTTCGGTTTTTGTCAGCTAGTTTTGCATACAGCTTTTGGTCTCTATCGTTTGTGCATGAACGGTATTTGTTACTTGAAATACAAGGACAATTGGTTCTGACTGGACATTGAATTTATATGACACAGCATAAGAAGATGCTCTTGAGATGTGATTAATGCAACTGTAGAACCACATTTCTAGTGCAAATCCTGATTCCTGATGACTATATATTTTTCTTACTACAAATGTTATTAAATATTTGTTTAAAGTGCAATTCTTCCACAGACGTTGTGGTTAACCAGCTTGGTAAAATGTGTTCAAAGTGACCCAAAACTGGGAGGAAACCCCAAAATGAACGTTCAAAACAAATTCCGTGAAGAGATATGAAATATATATGTAATATATTTTGACAATTTTCAATAAAATCTACTTGAAAGAACACAGAGTAGTATCCCTATATCCTACAAATTGTGTTAGCTAGTCAAATTAGTATTTGCAGTTAGCTACATAAGATTTTGCAGTATTTGTTATGTATTGTGGCAAACTAGGAAACAGAAAGGAAAAATACTAGGGGCTTAGCCAATATTAGCCTCAGTGTTGCCAAGAAATAGCTCAGCATGCTTTTAATATGAAGCGAAGCTCCATTGAAATCCAGAGGAGTTTGTTGTAGGTGCATTTCACGTTTGTAAAGCTGAAAATTGTTAATTGTATCCAGAATAACAGCTGATGTCCAAGTATAAATACAGGTAGAGATATCTGTGATTCTTATAAGAAAGCATTTAAATTTGTTTTGCTTGCTGTACTTTGGAATTTATCTCAGGTTATTCAAGAATACATCACATTTAACTAAAATTAGGGCAGCACTTTAATAACTGATGACATGTAGATGTTATTTTCTAGTATCGATGTAATATCTTTTGTCTTTTTTTTCTTTTGCTAGAGCAAGTGAAAATGCCTGTTTAAATTAATCTACTGTTTTCTGAGATAAAAAGCTAACTCAGGCTTACCACTGACATTTTTGAAACTGTCATAAGCATATTTGAGCCAAGTCCAGGGACCATATCATGCCATCAGTTTCTGAAGGCAGAAGATCTCACTGAAATCGGTTAGTAGTGTGCAAAAAAACCCTAAGTCAAGATATGGTCTCAGATGAGGGGAGAGATTTGCTTTCAGCGTAAAAGTTAAGCAAAGAAGTGAACTATAAACTAAGAATAATTTAGCTTAATGTTTTGGCAATAAAAATGGACTTTGGCTGAATTGGATGAAGAGGTTGGCACCTCTTGTTTTACAGACTTGTGCTCTGCAATATGAATACAGAATTTGGTGGGGGTTTTGGGTGGGAAGAGGGGGTTCTACCAGCTTAATGTGGTAATTCAACAGTTGGCTCTAATTTCCAAGAATTTTTTATTTTGGGGAAAAATGTTGACTAGAAATATTTCTGCTTCCTCCCAGCCTAAAGGAAAGAATTTGATAAAATTACTTCTGAAAACTAGGATGTCTTTTTTTAAAATTATCATCTATTTATAAGGCAGGAGAAAACCCTGAGCCACACCTCAGAAAATTGAAAGGGTGTCCTTAATATCTTCTTGGGTAACTTCCCCCCTACACTTAACTTTAAAATGGTAGTTTCAAAAATGTGTAGTTCTCAGGAATGTGCCTTGCAAAGTTTAATCAAAGAGGAGTCCAAGAAAGCTATAACTTGAATTAAAATTAGCGTCTATACAGGCACAGCAGAACAGTTGTTGTAGGGAGCAGAAGCAGTTTCGGGGGATGGAGCACCTCTCCCCGTGAGAAATTTCACAGTGGTCCTTCTAGGAAGGCTTCAGAGCGCAGTGGGGTCTGAAGGGTCCTTCAGCAGTTGCGATTCCAGCTCACTGGCTGCAAAGAAACAGATTGAATCCTGTTAGCACCTCTTTGTAATGCACCATGGAAAAGTTTGTTGAATCAGGATTTGTGCTAGCAGATCCGAGTTTCGCCTCAAGCATGGCTACCAAATGTGTGTGCCCCTCTCTATTTGCTAGGGCGATTTCAGTCAATTGAGCTGGTTATGTTTCGGTTGCCATTCAGCCGAATTAATAAACGTAGTATTTTTTCCAGCTGATGTCAGTGCACTGTGCAGACACCTCCGCTCTCTTGAAAGAACGAGTTCAGTTTTTTCCTGCGCTTTGCTGGTCAGAAAATGGCATTTGTCATCAGCTCACTAGCCCAGGTGGCACCGGGCAGGTGCGGGGTGACGGCACCGATGCATCGGGGCAGCCCCCCAAAGCGCGGTGCCCCGTGCCAGCCTCTGCTGCAGCCTCCCGTCAGCAGAGAGGCTCAGCCTGCCCCTCCAAATCTGCAGTTAAACTGGGAGGTTCTCTACTCTGTTTTGCTCCTTGAGAGAGGGGGAGTGGAGCATCGGAGTTTGTTCGGCTGAACCACCTTCAGAGCCCTAAACAAATAAATAAACTCCTCTACCATTTCTGTGGTGCATTTGTAAACGTAAACATGGGTCAGGAAACGGAAAGCTTGGGTTCCCACAGGCAAGTCTGACATTTGACTTGAAGGCGTAGCTTAACCTGGTGCATGGCAGGGTGACATGTATGTACGAGCAAGGAATTGTGTTAGTCATGGTTGTGGTTGGAACTGTAACTCGGGGCTGCCTGTCTCTGTTTGTGTACACTTTCAACCATAACATTTGCTGCATGAACTCGGGTGCCGCTGTACGGAGGTGACCTCTCGGCTCCATCTTCGCGAAAGGAGGGGGAGTGCTTTTTCCTGCTTTTGCTGTGTCTGACTATTGTAATTTTAATTCTTCCCACCAGTGACAGTTTTTCATCTCAAGGTTTTTGAGTACTTCTCAGTGTTTCTGCCAGATACCTTTTCTCTCCCCCTCCTTTCTACTTCACCCCCATGCTTGTCTAAAATATTAGCTGCCAGGATACATTGCCTTTCATTGTTCATGTGTAATGCCTTTTCTCATACGTGAAAACTTCTGTGTGTTCAGGATTGTGCTCATGCTAATTCTGGGCAATTGCTATTTCCAGGGAGAGCGCTTGGATGCAGTAAATGGCTCCGTGTAATTTTAAAACAAAATCTAAGTTTACACAAACCACCTTCTCAGGCACTTTCTTTTTCTTCCACTTTGTCTTTGGCACACTTTATTTTCCAGTAAAATGAAAAATGAAGATGGATTATTCAAAATTGATAACAGTAATGGACCATCATGTAATGTTTTATTGAATTTGAGTTCTGTAAATTATGTGGTAGAGAGAAATTTGCCTGCTTAAGTATAACAGAAATTGCCACTGTATTCATATAATTCTTCGTAGTGTAATTTAAGAAAAAGCACACTATCCATATCACTATTGAATAAAAGGTAAAAAGGTGCTATTACACTATCATGACAGCTCTCCTCTTGCTACTAAGCGACATAGATAAATGTGTCTGCTTATAACTTGCTTGGCAGGGATCCAGGCTTGTGGGTGGAGCTTGCGAATAATCTTCCACCTGGACATGGGATGGGAGCACCCTGCAAAGGAGAGGGATAGCGTGCAGGGTTGTTCTGCATGTTTTGGGGAGGTTTGGGCAAACTGCATTTTTCTTCTGGGAGCTTTGAAGTTCTATCAGGCTGATAAAATCTATTCGAATCAGTGATTACGTTCAAAGAGGAGACGAACTGGGGGCCAGACAGGCAGTGTTTTTGTTCATATTGGCAGACACTTTTGTTTATCTCCAGTTTTAAAGAATTCATAATTAGCTTTTGAAAGCCCTGATAGTATTTATTGGACATTTTTGTGCAATTAGTAATGAATTATACTTGTGATGATGTGTAAACTTTCTTTTTTTCAATGGGACGTGCTAACTTTTTAAGAAAATACATTTCCAGCGGAAAAAGAATACAAGGGAGGAACAGAGAGGAGGAGTCTGAGCCTGACAGTGTTTATAATCTCTATGCAAAACAGCATGTAGCTTTTATGCAACCTGAGGTACAATATCAGGAGATCACACCAAGACTTGTATCTTGGCAAACCAGTTCAAGCCTGGTAGAACGAACAGTAAATCTCTGCACATCAGCATGGGGCAGGATGTGAGAGCGGATGTTTTCTTTCTAGGATCTTCCCATTTTACACCTTGTCTAACAGTCTTTAGCTGAAGTTTGGTGCTTAGAAAATTGAAGCAGCAGCAATGAACTAATATTTGAAGCAGTCAAACCGTATTGTAAGACTTTGCCTGCACCCGGTACTACACCTTTTTTTTCATGTTATTTCCTCACATATTCTGACCTTTTAGGTTCAAAGCTCCTAGAAGCAAACACCTCCTTGCCTTCCCCCCACTCTCCCGTCTCCCCTCCTGTCTCCACATCTGTGTCCTCTGCTCTGCTCCCAGCTCATGCAAAGAGTCGTGGCAGTGATGGGGGAAGGAGAGGGGAATGAATACTTAATGGCATTTCTAATCACCAAGAGGTGTCCTGCAGCAATGGTTATGCTGACAAACCCAGGAAAAATACAAAAACCAATTTTCCTTGTTTACTTATTTCACTGAAGGGGGAAAAGTTATACAAGAAAAACAGCCTTTTCTGCTTTTTTTAGCTGCCCACTATGTGGCAAAGGCTTATACGAGCAAATATTTTCTATTATGGGCTAAAGTATTTTTCAAGGATATTTCCTGTGGCTGACAGTGGGATGGCTGTTAGTACGGAGTCTCCTCTCCTGCCAATGATCAGTCCGCTTGAGTTTAGTTTTTCTTTCTTCTTTTTAATCCTGGTGCGGTTGTTTTCAGCACAGTAGCGGCCAGAAATCACATGTGTTTACACGTCCATCATACATCCTGTGTTCTGCAGACAGCTTTGCCTTGTCTCCAGTGGCACAAAATCTTTTTTTGCCTCCCTTGGAGGATGGGTTGTGTAACCCTACCACTGACAAACAATAGTAACTGTGGGTTTGAGTACTTAGAAGTAGAAAAAAAAAATGGCAGACAGGAATTTAATTTCCATATTTGCTAATAAATAAATTTATTATTAGACTAATTATTAAGAAAAGTTTTAAAACTTACACTCCACTCAAATGCCACTTTTGTCCGTAACTCATTTATTTACCTTCTAAGTAGTTTTTGCCTGGATACCAGAAAAGAGGAGGGATGAAGAATAGTGGTAAGAAAGTATTCCCCAGGATTATTTTTTTTAAAACCTCCTCCAAATTATTTTTCAAGCTTAGTGCTGGACAGACTGTTTGTGTTTTCCATCCCATTTCCCTTTTTACGTGTGCAGGCACAGACAGGGCCTTGAGGACCACACTGGCCCCAGGGTAGTGGTTAGCACCTCCGTCCTCATCGTCCCTGAGAGATGGAGGGGTGAGGGGCCAAATGCAGAGCTCAGAGCTGCACTGGGTGGGCTGCCTCAGCACAGCTGCCTGAGAGCAGTGGCTCTGCCACAGCACCTTCAGAGAGTGCTTTTGCCCGATAGGATAGGACCTTGGGAGAGGTGACAACTTGCCTCTCTGTTTTAGCTTTTTTATTGCCTCTCCCCGCCCTCTATTCACCCCTCCATTATCCCAAATAACTTGCAACTTTAGGAAAAGAAACATTGGGTTGTGTTATTTCTTTAAAATCACATCCATGTTCCCTTGTTACACTAGCAATAAAAGCCTGTCATACCAACCCTCTCCTTGTCCCAGCGTGGCAACAGCATTTATTCTAAAAAGAAGTTCACGTCTGCTTTTGCAAAAGTTAGTTTTCTTATCACCGCCTTGTTACTTCAAGACAGTAGAGCATTTTGTATGCCTGACATATTTAAAAGGAGAATTTGGCAGGGGGGAGATTTCAAGAACCTGTTGACATTAAAGTTCTAGTTGCACTCACAGGTTCATAAATATTTCATCCTTTAGAGTAATTAGGTGTCCCAGACCGCCAGGCCTGCTCCATTGCTGAGAACCGAGATGAAATGATTACGTAGGAAACCTGGTGTGGTCTGTACAAGCCGCTGGCGGCACGCTATCGTCTGCAGCCTGCCCATCTCTGGCTCGCTGCTACGGATGCCCTGTGTGCTGTTTTCCTCTCATTCCCCAGTGCTCGCTTTTATCTGTCGTTGCTGGACTCTGAAAGTGGTCAAAGGACGACAATGGTAAATGGACTTAGGAAATGGGACCTGCACAGCAGGTGCTCAAATAAATAGGACTGGGTGAGGATTAGGGTTGTCCTGGTGAGGAGAGGGGGACGGTGGGAGGGGAGAAAGGCGAAGGAGGGGGAGCATCCAACAGTGAGTTTCCTCACTTGTCGCTAAATGCCAATATACAACTCTCAAAACAAAATACTGACTTACAAAAAATTTGGACCTGAGTCAGTTAAGCAGTACTTTAGGAACGTTGTGAGTTTATTGTCTCGGATTAGTTGTGCAATATCACTTCCTTTCAAAAAGCTGTTTAAGTTGCTAGAAATGTGGAAAGCCGTTTCTTTGGGTTGGCTATGCGTTTTGTCTGGGAAGCCTGAGAACACCCCAGTGTCATGCCTCTGGATTATCTGTATTTCACTTATTCTTAACGTCTTGTGATTGTCTGGCGACTGTGAAAGATTTCATGGCAAGTTAAGCCAGTAAAAGGAAAGAGACCTATTAGGCAGATTCAGTTTATGTTGTATGTAAAACAGATGCTTAATAAAATTAAGGGTACAATTGCAGCTCTCTTCTCTGCTACCTAAATTGCCATTAATATATTCCTGTGTGGAGTGAATAGTGCATTTGCTGCTCTCGTTCTCAGCCCAGTGGAAAGAAGAAAGAGCAGTGGCTTCGCAGAGCACGGTTTTACAGGCGCTCACCTAGGCTAACTCTCCAGCCTATTTTTTTTCCTCCCTCCCTACAGGGCTTGCTCTCAGAAATCCTCCGAAAGGAAGAGGATCCCAAGACTGCCTCGCAGTCCTTACTGGTAAACCTTCGGGCTATGCAGAACTTCTTGCAGCTGCCAGAAGCCGAACGAGATCGAATTTACCAGGACGAAAGGGAAAGGAGCTTGAACGCAGCCTCTGCAATGGGCCCCGCACCTCTCATAAGCACACCGCCTAGCCGGCCTCCACAAGTAAACCCCTCTCTCTGCCTTCTATGTTTGCTCGTTGTGCTTTCTCACTGTCCTGCTGGGTGGAACTTTTCTTAAAAAGAAGAAAGCTTTTACTGTTGCATTTTTTAAATGCTCGTAGAATCGTTATTTGGCGTGCACATCACAAATTAAATTTAAGAAATATAACGGATGGTAGTAGCAGTTTATTACTACCTATTTGCTAGTTTTAAGATAATTTCTATCCATTATGGCCCCTACAGAGTTTTTTGCTCGTTTTACTGAGATACGAGCTTTACTGGGCCTGGAACATGCTGCTTTTTAGCTGTCTTTTTCTCCCTTAATTCTCAGGTGTTGTTTTTAATGTCAGAGGTTCAAATAGGGATTTTGAAGGATTTGGACCACTAAACTGAGTGGGAATGAAAGCAGAAGTATGCGTACATCGTATTGCCTTAAAAATTATCTTCCAGAAAATGAACAGGTAAAACTAGAGGGATGGAGGATAGAAGACTCCATCCCAAAATGCTGGGCACACTTTCGCCAGGTCGAGCTACTGACAACTGGATAACATAATAGTTATATCCATCGCTCTGAAAAATTGGGATACGCTCATTAAAGCTTCATTTAGTATTTGTTCAAATGAAACTCCTATTGATTTCTGTAAAATCTAGTGGGACTATTTGGTTTAACTCTCCCAAAATTATAAAGTTTGATAGAGTGGGATCCCGAAATTCAGTGGTGTAGTCCTTGTGTCTGGAGAGGAAACTCAGATACTGGTTTTAGGGGGTACGTGAGAAATATAGGTGTGAGCCATAGGAATGCATAGGATTTCCACAGAGAAGAAACGCAGTTGTGAATGAAACACCCCAAAAAACAACGTACCTTTTCTGAAATACTCTGCATTGCTGTGGCTCAAGATTGTACCTATGCAAGACAAAACTGGTCTACAGATATGTGGGAATCGTGCAGTATACGCAGTCCAGATTTGCTATACAAAGCAAGGCTTTGGGATTGTGGGAATTTTGTGATGGTGGAGTATATAAACACAGAGCAGTTTTTTACTAACCAGGCTCAGGCATGTGCCTGTGACTATATTGCATACCCATTCTGAACGCTATAAATTCCTCCAGGTTATTTTTCTAATTTTCCTGCAGCTAATGGATGCTAAGGACCACACTGAAGTAACGATAACAAAATTGTAGGAAAAGGGAGGACCAAAGATCACTTTGACCTGCTGCAGTAATTTTCACAAGACGAGAAAAAATTTTTAGTAGAAAGAACAGACTGTGCTAATGGTCTAGTTTTGTTATCATTAACTGAGTTTAGTCTGTGAAATCCACTACAGATACTCTTCAAGATAAAGGACGAGAATCTATTTATATAGTAATGCTTTAGTGGGAAATAGTTAAATATAGATAACTGTGTTTAAAATAACATTTGAGTTTGTTTTAATACCTGTACCTGCTCCCACAGCCCAGGTAATTCAGAGCAAAGGCTGACCCTCCTTCTTAACTTATCTTTTTCTGCCAAGGTAATGTCTCACTCTGTCTCAAGTGGTCTTGGGCAATTTCACAGCTAAAGAACAGAGTTAATTACAGGACTTTCCAGAAAGATGTCGAGTCAGAGGTAGTCCTTGTATTGGTTTTAATTCACACTTTGAACTCTATAAATCCCTTGCAGCCAGAAAGAAAGTGAGACTTAGGGGGTTTCTTAACTGACAAAACATACTGTAAGTCCAAATTTAGGGATCGGGGGGAGGGCGGAGGAGGGGGGGAGCGAATCTATCTGTCTCTACTGTGCTCTTGTTCATAATTACTTTCATTTTCCTAGTGGGAGTCAGGAGTATAGTTAACCTAATCGTGACAGTTCAAAGTGGAAACAGCATACGATTCTGTTTTGATCCTTTTCAAAAGGAAAACAGGTTAACAAGGAAACCTTATAGACTAATACTTGAGGTCTACAGAACAAAACAGTTATTTTTCTAGTTTTTATATTGTTCTCTGTCATTCAGCAAAACATACGCACTTTACCTAGTGGATGGACCGAGGATGTAGAAACCTTTGAGTTGAGATTCTCTGCGACCTTTTTACATGTTGTCAGAATTACTCACCTATTAACACGTGTAGCACTTGCCACCTGCTACTAAGTGTGAGCCCTAGGTTTGAAAATTGAAATATCTGTGTTGGTAACGTAAGTACAATACTTAATGCTAGAAATAATAATGAAATTATTCTAGTTGTTGCACTGGCAAGTGTATCTTTACAAATTGTAGCAGAAATAAATTATAGTCAGGATACTGCAAAATTATTAATGCAAACTGCTACTCTGATATCCCCCCCAAATGTCCACAGTTTATTGAATATTTGATACTAAGGAAATAAAACTACTATGTCCTTACTACTAAATTTATTATAAGCAATTATTTAAAGTTCACTATACAGGGATACAGCATAATATTTTTCTAGCTTAACTGTGAGCTTCTTGGATAACTATTGAAAGACAAAACAGACCGTTTATCCTGACAACAGAATTTACGCAAAAGCCAACATATTTAATATTAAATCTTTAGACCAGTGTAAGATTTGAAACAATTAAACTATGAAACCATGAAAAATGGGAGCTAATATGCCACACATGAAGGTTTATTTTGCAATTGCAAGTTATCAGTTTCGGAAGGATGTGAAAATAAACATCCTGAAAAGGATCTATTTTGCATTTTTGTGTTGCCAACTGGTGGCCAGACAGTAGAGCAGACTTAACCATTTAGCAGCTGAGCTTGTTCTGTGTGAATTTTGCATACTGTTGCATGCAAAAACAGAAAGCGTGACCTTGGAGGTCTGATAGGATAGTAGGAACTCACCAAGCATAAACTCTGGTGCCTGAGTTAGAAGAAACTGTGTTGAATTTATCTCATTTTTACAGCATTCTTACTAGTTGCTACTTGAGCTAATGTATCTGGATTGTTTCCAATTCTTTTTTGAAATCCTTTAAGAAGCTCTTTGTCCTCCTTACTTCTCCCTTTCTCTCTGACTTACACAAAAAAAGCAAAAACTTACTTTTTTTTTTTTTTTTAATTGAAATCATTAGCCTCTAATGCATGAGCTTTTGGGATACATGTATAGCCCTCTAAGCTGGTCAACTTGTAAAAGTCTGCTACTATCTTCCACACTGGTGGACTGAGTGTGAGGAGACCGTGTACACAAGAATTTTTCCCTTGGATGTTGTTCATCTTGCCACCTCCTGGGGCAGAAGCCTGTCTGTCAGGCTCTTTCCTGGGGCGGTGGAGTTTATAAATATTAACATCTCCATCAGGTAGGTACTGCATGGAGACATAGTTTAACCTCTCCAACCTAGAAGGAATTAAAAAGGGTCCTTTCTTGTTCTGTTTCTTTTATTAATTTTTTTTCCCCCTTTTCAACACTTTCATCTTGCAGATCATCCCACAGAGGTCCTTTCTGGGTATCCCTAAGTTCAGAGGATGAGTCTATTACACATTGTGTGGGAACGAGAGGATGTGGGGATACTTCAAAGGACCCTGAGTGTGGAGCTATGTTCAGGGTGGATGGAGTTCCCCAAGGAGGTGCTAGGGATGGCCTCTCCCTCTCATCGGGGCAGTTCGGGGGGTGGGGAGAAGAGGACTCCCTCCTCCTTAGTACAACTTGGGGGGAGGATGGAGACAGGTGACCAAGTCACAGATTTTCTTTTCCAAAATATTCTGGTTAAAGCTTGTTAGCCATCCTGCAGCTATGAACACTTCCTTCTCAGGACAATAATCTCCATCTCAGCAGATCTGAGGAAGAAATCCTTCTCGCCACCCATATTCCCCAAAGAAAATTTGAGCTAACTCTTGGGGCCCATCATTATCCTGTGTAAAAACAGAGTACGTGTAATGTCAAGAGCAGAATATAATTTTAACAAGGCAATGTTTTAAGAAGTATCCACAAATCTTGCATGAGTCATGGTTCTGGGTACTCAATTGACAAAAACCTTCATTTTCATAAATATAATCCTGGCCTCCCTCTGACTACAGATAAATTACAGTTCCTTCATGCTAAAGCAATTTCAGCTTGGGTCCCAGAGATAGGATGTCCGTCTTGAAAGACTGGTGTTGAGGAGGATATTGCTTTGCTGGTGTTTGAGGACCAGTGAATCTCCATTGCAAGGAACTCTGGATAACACCAGTTCCTGTGAAACTTGATGGTGGAGCCCTGGAGTTCAAACACATGCACACACCATACATCACCACCAGAAAAATTTTTATTTTTAAGTCTGCAAAATTTGAGATTTAGGTTGATAGTCTTTGTGCCAAGTTGCATTTTAATGAAAATAAAATGAACAAAATAATAAATGCAGCCCTCTCACACACCCCCCACCCCCCTGCAAAAACCACCATGGCGGAGAGTTAATGGAAACCCTGACACTTAACTATAACTGCACTTCCAGGCGCCACTCTAATAATGGAGTAGTAAACCTTGTCCTGATAAAAGCTGTTCTGAAAGCAACAGCATTTATTGTACCTCCTGTGCTATTTGCAGAGCAGAACTGAAAAGTAGTTTGTTTTGCCTGGTATGAACTACTATATGAATTTTAATTAAAAGCTAAACCAGGATTAAAGAAGATTTTTGTTCCCAAGCTAAAACAGTACTTACAAGAATGTGTTATAAAAGATTTTTTTGTTTCAGTTTCGATGGGGAAGAAATGAGCTTCCATGTTTGTGAAAACCTCTTCAGATTGGCTATTCCTTCTATAACAACCTGTCCTTTGTTTAGGAAAATTGAATTAATCCAGAACTTCTTGCTGCTGTAACCAGTCTTATTTGATAAGAAGATATATATCTGGGCAGGCCAAGAGGGGATGGATGTGTTGGGGTTTTTTTCAAGTCTGGTGGTAGGAAGATGGCCAAATGAGTTTCTGATTGTCAGTGTGTTATGCTTGTAAAATAATGCTCCCCTGTTCAGTTAGTGTTTGCAAAATTTGGTTACTGTAAAAAAAATTTAGCTGATCTATGGTTTCTTTCCTAAACAGAAAATGTGGCTATAAGTGTGGGTGGGGTGAGAGGTTGTGCTTAAGTGTGGATGAGATGAGAGATTATGTTTTGTTTTGTTTTTCTCTCCAAAGTGAATACTTTTTCCACCTCCTCTCCCAAGTTCTGAAGTTGCACTGTTGGGGGCTTTTTTGTTTTCTGTTGGGTTTTTTTGAGGAGGAGGGAGTTTGTTCAATCCAGCTTCAAACAGCCTCTGTCTTGAGCTCGATTCTAAATTCAACACAATAGCCTAGATGCTTGCTATGTATAAATTATGAAACAGTTTTATGTATGGATATTCTCCAAGAGGTTAATTAGCATTATTGCATGGAATTCATCAGACCAGAGCAGACCAATGGTCCATCTAGTCCAGCCAGAGTCTATACCTGATCTTTGAAGAGAAATTGTTAAGAGGCGGGGGAAGAATTTTTATACTTGGCCAATGATGTAAATTGGAGAGGGAGAGGATATGGCTGTGAACAACATCTCTTGATAATCCCCAAACCCATCATTTTATGACTTTCATTCTCCTGAAGCTCTTTGGGCTAATACGGCATTTTGATGCAGATATTAGTGTTTTCTGTTGTTCACTTCCTAATTCAGTATCAACAGAAGGCAATAGGGCAATAGGAGTCATCGTTTTTTTTCTTTTAACTTCAGTGACATATTAGATGCTGTTGAGTTTGTTGTACCTGTGTAAAAATAGATGTGATTTGCCAACTAGAATGAGGATTTTCAGTAATTCCCCTGGGTTAAGTGCATTGAAAAGAGTGGACCAAGATGCACAATTTAAATTATGTCTCCAACGTGGTGTGTGAGTCTTGGTTTTTGATGATCTGGGTGTTTCACAGCTCAGTTGAGTGGTCTGTGAAGTGCTGCTACAACATGAAGCTGTCTTTTGAAGCCGAGTAGCAATCAAAAAGACAGTGTGCTTGCGGAAAAGAGGCATTTCGAACAGGATCACAAGAGCAAAGTGTTTCCTTCCCAAAAGATACCGTGGACTTGTGTATCCTAGCTGAATACCTTTGTCTTCTCATCCTCCCCTCAGGACCCTCAAAGATTAGTTACAAGTTAGAAATATTTCTTTGGGAAGGACTGAAATAACTTTGCCAAAATTTAAACCCAAGGTCCAAGAAGGCGTGTTGACAAAGCTATCGCTTTTTCATTTTCTAATTTAGCTTTGCCTGATTTTTACATGCCAGCAGAGAAGCCTGTCCCCAGTTGCATATTTAACAACCCCATTGGTTGCCAGTTACCTTTTAGTGAATACTTTTCATTTAAAGGTTATAAAATTGCCACTGATTTTGTAATTTTCAAATTATTTCACTGTATGGTGTTCAGGAGATGCACCTGCTCTTGCGGCCCCATGCTGATTTGCCCCGTGTGAGGCATGCGTTTTCCCGCTCTGTGATGGGAAGAAGGGAGGTTCGTGGTGCTGCTCCTCACGCTGCCCACTGCCAGGTGCCTCAAATGTTTCTGAGCAGCCGTTGGCCCAGGCTCGGCCATCTTCTACTGCAGTGTCGCCTGTAAAATGTCACACTGCGGAAGAGGAAACGCCTCACTCTCCAGGTCACGGCTGCAAAGTACCAGTTCTTTTCAGATGAAAGCAAATCACGTGATAAACTGTATGCCACATTCTGTGATTTTTCTTCATTTCCCTTTTCACTCAAGACTCCTGTTTTGAGACACCAGAAAGTGCTAATGCCTGCCAGAGGGAGGCAGGTGGGAAGTGCGTGTGGATGCCTTGTTCTTGCTGGGGTTTCGCCCCTTGCAGCTAATGGGCATGTGTTAGCACAGCTCCTGAAAAGCCTGATCGACAAATCAGGCTCAGCAAAAGTGGCATGCACTCCCAGTTTCTGGGCTAGATTATTTTATCTTAAAACCACTACAGAGGATAGTTAACACAAATTGAGCGTGACATTTCTAGGAAAAAATGGGCTGATGATTTGCCTAAGTACGTCTCTCACCCAAACCCTTTGACTCTCATGTCATGAGACCTGTGACATATGAAAGCTCATGGAGAGTGAGATTAGAAGATGAATTATCATGTTGTCATGATTTCCCTTTGAACCTCAAGGGACTTTAGAGCACAGGAAGATGCTGAATTGCACTGGATTGAACTGATAGTGAAAGTGTGGTTTTAGACGCATACTTAAGAGTAGGCTGAATCACCTCCTGGAAGTGCCAAGCTCTGTCCATTAGATTTAGAGGTAGCCTGGATGACTAACTTAGACTAGATGTGTAACTTCTGAATGGCTGAATTAATGCAGCTCTCAACAGCCTCAGTATGAACCAGTAGGTTTGAATCGAAATCTAAAGGTTTGATTTTGTATCATCACCTTGTGGGTTCTTGGCAGAAATCCAGTCTTTCCTTTCCTCTGGTCTACTTTAGGATTCGTGGTCCATTAGGTCCACTAATCTTGGGCAAGCATTGTTAGAGTAGCTGCTAAAGAAAGACGTTATCCTTAACTATTGAGAATATTGTAGGATAAACTGAGTACCTGCTGATTTTTTGTACCTCTCAACTGATACTGCAGAAACTGCACTGTAACCTTGGTGGGATGATTCTTGGTGTTGAAACATCACTTCCATCATTTCCAGGGGGTGAGGAAAGGGTAGTCTTCTGCACATCATGTCACTATTGATGTATTTTTTGTTGTTTTCCTTAATGCTGCAGATGCAGCACAGAGGTGGTAGTATAATCATTCTGTCTTTTTTTCCTGTTTTTTTTTTAACCTGGACTGCAAGAAGAATAAATATTTGATGTATGTAAGTGAAATACAACTAGAATTAATAGTTTTAAGAAAGTCCTATCTTGATTTCATGAATGAGTGGTTAAAATATGCATTATTCTAAATTATCACTTTCTTAAAAACAGCTTAAGAATTAAACTGATAAGGTAGTATTTTAAAAAGTTAAATCTAAAGTCACAACTTTTCTACATTATCATGCATTTGAGTATACTGGACATAAGGCATGAATCAAGATACATCTGTCAGGTTTCTGTTTCATTAGAGATTCTTTTATGCTGCGCTTAAAATTTTCACTTAATTTGCGTGGGGCAAAAAAATCATGTAAGGATTCACAAGTGTCTACAAGACTGTTTGACAGGTTTCCACCTAATTTGTTTTATGACATTGAAATTCACATTGGTCAGTTAAAGATAACTCATATTTCAGATGCACTCACCTGTTACAATATGCTGAATTTTCTTGTTTCCCAGTTGCCTGAACCACGGATAACTTATAATGTTAAATCTCTGAAAAGCTGAAAGAATATCAAAGCAAGATTGAATAAAAAGAATAAAATGGAAAGGGGAACTACTTGGTTTTGGAAAGAGAGGAAAATAACTTTTTCATAATGAAAAATGTCTCATAAAATATATTTTCTAGGTCAAAACTGCTACTATTGCTACAGAGAGGAATGGAAAAACAGAAAACAATTCCATGAACATTAATGCTTCCAGTTACGATGAGATTCAGCATGAAATGAAGAGAGCTAAGGTGTCTCAAGCACTGTTTGCAAAGGTTGCGGCAACCAAAAGCCAGGTAAAGTTCCCAGGGCGCAACGGCCTCCCCGTCCTGTGTGATTGTTGCCCCCCTCTCCCGGTTTTGATCTGTTTCTGTGTGAGTTACAACGAGCGGCCGGGTTAGCACACCAGCCCGGTACCACAACTCGGAGCCCCTTGCTGAGTCCAAAGGTAACCTCTGGTTACCCTTGACCAGGCAGGGTTGAGAAGCAGCTTCCCGAGCCGCATCCCTCCCTCCTCCTCGCCAGCGAGATGCCTTCGCTGCGCGCCCGTGGGTCTTGCGTGGCTCAGAAGGCATCAGGTTCATCAGATCTTAGCTGACGCGGACGTGGCAAAAGCTGTGGGCGAGCTCTGTGTATTGCTGCCGAATTCATCTCGAGGCTTTGGTGTTTTGCAATTACATGCGCTGTAATGAGGAACGCGGGGTCCTGGTTTTTGCGAAAATATTTAGTCAGACCCACTGGTGAGGCTGTGCACGGGAGGTGGGGCAGCTCTGTCCATGTCAAAAAAAACCCAAAACACCCAACAAATTACGGTTATACAAGTTATATCTGAGAAAACATGTATGATCTTTGTGGAATACGATGGCTGCTTGGTTACCGGTGTGTGTGCATACATATATATTGCATATTCAGTTTTAAGCCTTTGTTGTGTGGTTTCCTATTCTGTTTTCTTCAACTGAAGAATTTCTGTCAAGTTTAGTGGCAAGAGAGGGAAATCAGCAAGCACTTGTTGGGTGTGATTATTGTAAGTGACATGTCTTCTGAGAAAGATCACTGGAGTATGCAAAAGCATTGATTTAAGCGAGAATGTACTCAAGAAGTAAGTAAAGGAAAAACATACAGAAAAGACTAGAACCACAGTTATACCAACGCTTGAAAGAAATGGTAAATGCTTGCAATGTTGGATTTTCACATCAGATTAAATGTTCAGTCCACTTAGTCCCTATTCCTTTACTTTTCTGAAATTGCGTCATAGAAGAATGCAGCATCTTCCAGGGAAAGCTGATAATGATCAGTTAGACCAATGTTTCTTGGGCCGTCAGCATTTTAGTGCTGGTTTTCTTTTTAACAGTCTTTAACTTTTGACTTATGCGTTGTTCACGTTTTGGAGTTTACTCCATTTCATTGTGCAGAAAGGATGTTGTCTCTTAAGTTATAAGCTGTAAGGAGCATTAAAAGGAATATTTTGGAAATGTTATATCAAAATGATTAAACTCAAGCTGTGGACTGTAAAAATTATAGCTTTATAGGCCACATGCCTGCCTACCCTTCAATCACTGTCAAAGTGATAATTTCTACAATAATATGTTTCTTTTATTGTTGGATTCTAAACACCAAGTGCTGTTTAAACATTAAACTGAATTGTTTATGTTAGTGCTTCACTCAGTGTGTCATACATCAGGCCACTATAATCTCCCATGGAATGTAAAAATTCTGTCATGAATCATGGCTTGTATATCGGAAATTACTGTAATTTTGATTGGAAATTACAGGGCTCTTGAAATGTTTCTAATTATGATAGAATGTTACAGCAGCTTCCAACCTGTGTGCTCCTCAGATGTCTTTATTTACATGTCAAGACTTGGGGTTAGAGAACTGTCCGTTTTCTACACTTTCCTCTTTCCATTGCAGTTCTCTGCAAAACTAAGGTATGAAGCCAATCTATCGGTCCACGTAATTTTGATCTGATCTGATTTGTGTGATAGTGTGTTTATTTAAGTGTGTAGTCTTAAAATTTCTAGGCGGGACAGCTCTTCCCGACTGACTTTAAAAGGGACGGGTAATCAAAGTGAAGCACAAAAGCTTCCAGAGGATGCGGTGCAGTTTTTTGAGAGTATTGGTATAAAATCTAGATTCTTGTACAAACTTTGCAGCCAAGTATAGAAAACAAACACCACCAAACACATAGTTCTTTTCCCTTTTATTATGGAGATTATGCCTGTATTCTCGGAGGTTATTCTTCTCCTGGATTTAAGTAATGTAATGTTAATTTAGGTATTAAGCAAGTTTTCAGGTCTGTAGTTAGCCACAGTACCATTTGTAGTAGAAATCTGCTTCACAGAAGTAACCTCTTAGCTAAACTGAATGTGTTGGGTCTTGTCTAACCAACTGACTACTAGCCAGCCAATCAGTAAGTTTTAAATATGTAGCAAAGCCATGTATATTAAAGGAGATATCTGTCTTGTAAAGATTCTGCATTGGAGCTTGTCAGCGGTACAGACAATTATTTCTTGGAGCAAAGAAGTCTTTCTTGCATAAAAAAGGGGCTTGTTCAGACATACTCTTTAAGAGAACCTCTCTTGAGAGAGATCCGCTGTTTTTTTTTCATTTGGGGGTATTTGTTTCCTGCTCAGAACTGGAAATCCTGGGATAATCACTTCCAGTTATAGTGAAAAATCTGGAGGACACACATTAGAAAATGATGCGTTGGTTAACAGTTTTGTTTTTAAACACCACAAAAATTGAGTGTTGCTGCTCTTATCTTATTTTGGATATAAAAACTTGATTAACTGCTGAGTGTAGTCTGGAGTTACGGTACGAACCAGTATGTGACCTAAAGCAGCTCTGCCAGTGGACAAAGATAGTTGTTTGCTGGAGGGCCTTTCTATTTATTTTTTTTTCTAAGGAACTGATTTGGGTCAACATTAGATTGGGTGTCGAAGCAGCCAGCATCTGCAAGGTGGCTGGGCTTGCCTGAGCCAGGAGACTGCAGATAATGTTCTGCTGACTAGAGCACTTTGCACAGAAGAGCTATTAAATGATGAGCTACAGAAGTTTCCATTCAGGTAGCACCGAGGTAAAAAACGAGCATCTTCCCTTGCGCAGTGTTGGTGCCTTTGGCAAGAGTTACCTGATTGACGGAGGACCTGATGCATATGGGCCTGATGCTCAACAAACCAGCTGGCTACGGGGGCTCGGGGCAGCAGAGGTCATAGCACAGGGCAAGGAAGGGGTGACGGGAGCAGGAAGAGATTGCAGTGATATTAGTGAGACCGTGCTCTGGCTTAGGTGAGTGATGATTTGCGTACTTGTAGTTTCGCGTTGCACTTTGCTTGTGGCTTGTTGGCTTTCCCAAAGAAAAGGGACTGTCTGGCACATGGGTTTGAACGAGTTTGGGGACTTAGCTAGAAGATTCCTTCAAATGTTGAATTCTTTTCCCGTATAGGAATGTATGCATTCTGTATATTTTCAAAATTTCTATGTTCTTAAGGATCAATATATTATCTGCAGAATAAATTCAAATTCTGTTAAATTCAAAATATATACATTAAAAGTTACTATGGTTATACTGAGGAGCTGAGGAAGATATTATAATTCAAATTGCTTGAATACATCATATCTTTGGGGAGTTTTAGAACTGTAATTGGCAAAACACCTAACGTCAGTATTTAAAATCTTACATTTTTATTGCAAGTTGTCTGCCTAATAGGTCTACGTATTTTTTTGTTAGGTTATGTTGCAAAGAGAGCTTTAGAAAAATACATGCAAACGGAAGACAGAAAGGTTTACCAAGCGCTTTGTGTCTGCTCCCAGATTGTTATTTTTTAGTGGTAGAAGGGCAATACTAACAATATTGTTTACTAAAATTTTATCAGCACACCTGAGTAAGTAAAAATGAAAAGAATCCACGCATATAAATTTGTGTGGTGTGCATTACTTTTACAGTTTGATCATATTGAGTTTTTATTAAATTTATAACCTGACAGTCTGATTCAAGTAATTATGAAAGCACATCCTTAATTTCGTTATTTCAAACAAAAAAAAGTTGATTTCTGTAATGATCATTAAGGCATCATGGTTCAGTAACTGTGCATTGGTTACAATGTTTTCATGTGGGAGCCAGGGATGAGGTTTTTTCTTGATGGTGACAGATGCTGAAATCTAATTTTATTCCATAAAAACAAACAAACAAGCAACCAAAAAAACCCCAGACCTAAGAGCCCTGAGAGATAAGGCAAGTAGAGACTTGTAGTGCTCCTGTATGTTTGCTGTGTTTTGAGAAGTTACATTTATGTTAATGGCTTATCCTGAAAAGCTGCGGCCTGGACGTGCTAGTATGAAGTAGGGAAGAAAGCAAAACTTTGCTGAAAATCAGCTTCACGTGATTACGTGAAACCTAAAGCTTTCTTAAATTTAAGAAATTACGGTTTGCAAAAACTGAAGTAATACCAACTTCCATACCTCTGAGAGTCCTATGTGCTACAGTGTAAGGCCGCTAGCCTGCATTATTATACCTAAATAAGTTTACTCTATAGTAGAATAAATAGGTAAAATCGATACTTTTCTGCAGCATCAATCGTGCCAATTGCTGTGTACGGCCAGGTAGATGCCAAATGCCCTCCCTTCTCACCAAACCAAAATGCCTGTATGTTGAAGGCAAGACACTTGGCTCTCTCAGAATCATGCTCCGATTCAAATTTTGGTATAAAATTAATGGAGTACTACCCATGCCTCCAGAAACCTCATCTCATTACTTTTGAGCTGTTGCACGTGAGCTGTTGCACCGTGTTGCCCAATTTCTTGTCCTTCTGTCCCCGTCTTTCACTTTGGTTAGGCAGTTAGCCCCTTGGAAATGAGTAGTTTGGCATGCAAAGCACGGAGGTAAAATCAGTGGTTCAGACCGTGCTAGAGACTCCATCCTAAGCCGTCACGCAAGTATTTTGTGCATTGGCATTTTATTAGAAGTGTTTGACTTTTTGCCTTAGTACACACCTGGAGCGTCCTCCTCCGAAATGCTGCGTGGGGAGGCGCACCAGGTAGGCGTTAGGCAGAGCATCTAACACTCGTGAGTAGATGGGAAGGAGTTAAATGGGAAGGGAATGCTAAACATTGGCACTAAAATTGCTTTTGGCATGCAAATACCATGCTTTTCCTGACATAAATATTTTCAGAATAGGCCATTAGAGTTCAGGTATATAAAACCCTGCTTTTACTGGAAATTTTAATGTTGTAGTAAACCCAGAGATTTATAGTGAAAAATTGATGTCTGTTATCTCACTTTTATCTTTTTAACCAG